GGGGGGGGGGGGATGGTGTTGCGTCTCCCGAGAAATTTGGATCCCTCGATCAATACCGTCCGTGTTTCCTGCGCCGGCGATGTCAAAGATACATCGGCTAAAAATGTTATCCTGAATTCTACTTCGGGTTCCTTAAAATTCACGAGTCTCCGTTTCCCGCGTTTTCCTTGCAAATATTTTCGTTCCCGAAAGTGCTCCTTTAAAATAAGACAAGTAAAGAGAGAAAATATCCGCACCGGCGTTCATCTGTGCGCCGTTAAAAATTGTTATCTCGCTTCAGCAATTACGTTAGGAAAGCGCTCCGCGAACGGCGAGCAATCGTGCACCTAGCGGGAAATAAAAGAGGTAAAGTGTGTCTTTAACAATTTAATTTTCGGAATTCGCGGGAATAAGGTTCATTATGCGGAATAAAAGACGTACTGTCCGGGCTGGTTCATCACGTGGACTCAAAATAGCTGGAGCCGAGTACTTCATTCGATTCTAGGAGAACACGGAAACGACCGGCTAGAAAAGACCATGCTGCGAAGAATATCCTAAGGGAATCCAATCAGAGCGGGGAGGATTCGCCAGGCACCTAACCCCGGTCGACCTCTCTTACAAATCTCAGATACCTTCGTCCTCAACGAATTCCAGGGAAGATTTACACCGGTTTCAAGAAGAATTCCTCTTTATTGAGTACAAACTGTCAAGGCGTAGGCGAAAAGAATTTTATTACCCACCCTCGAGGATCTCTTATTGCAGCTAACCCTTTCTCCGGCTCTGCCCTTACATCTCACGCCGTTAAATTCAACATGCAGGAAGCGATTATATTATCCGATATACGATTCGTAAGAATTAATCCCTGGACGCGTACAGCATTAACGCGAGAAATTTATGCCCCACGGATAACGAAAGAAATTATTGCGAAATCGAGTTGCGGATTAACGTACTTAGGGATTAACGCAGCTACCGGCGAATTAGTAAAGAGAGTCGATGGCTCTCGCAAATCAGAGAACGGATTGATACACCGGCACTGAATTTCCGATCGAGCGCGGGTGAACTTCTTAACATTTATCGCGCGACAGTTTCGTTCAATTTTCTGATCGATTCGTCCCGTTCCGGATAATGCCTGCCACTCCGTCGAAAGCCCACTTCACGAGTCAGCATCCCAAATCTATATTTCCAGATTGTATTCCGTGACAACGACCCTTCCTCCATTGCCACTGAAATTGCTGGAAGTCGCCGTGCCGATCGATAAAACCGACGAAAAGATTGGGTCCACGTCGGAGACAGCGACGGGAGAGATCGAAGTCGGGAAAATAAAGGAATCGTGGTATACGAATACAGTCGTAGCCGTTGAACTTAATACTGTAACCTAACCCCATGCAGACGTATTGCCCTTTGTATCGTTGGAGGGAGAGAGAGAGAGAGAGAGACAAAGGGAGAGACCGTAAAGAGAAGAAATAAGCAACTGATAGTGCTCCGGAGTCCTCAAGCAATTTTGACGCAAATGTAAAGAAAATACGCGCACGGAATAGCTCGATAATATTTACGCGGGCAACATAAAGAACGAGATTGAACCACGTAGGACACGTCACGATCATATTTATGTGAGACAACAGTATTCCTGTATTGACGCCAAACGCAGCATCGAGTACGGGATATCGAGAGAAGACGCGGGGTAATCTGATGTGCAACGGGACGGATAACGCTGTATATAAGTGTGTCGCACACACTGGTATGATAAATAGCATAACGCGGCTGATAAATACAGGCGCGCGACTCGCTGCACAGCGAATCGGCGCGCACGGTTGTTGAGCACGGCTTATGAAAATATTTTATCATTTACGAGCGGCGCTCCTTCCGCGAACGAGCTTTTTTCGGTAGCGCTCGCCGTCGCGAAGTATTCGCCGTGTAACATCTATAATCCAAAATCGATGGCCCGCTGTTTCAATGCGAGCTTAACGCCCCGTGACCGTGGTGTTACGACGGCGGCAGCCGATGTAATCCCCGCGAATTCGAGTTTAGAGGGATCGTCAATTTGCTACGTTCTCGCTCATAAACCGAGCAACGTCGAAACGACCCTCCGTTTTTCGCGATACACGGCGGGCGATCCTGTTGCGCTCGTCGAGAGAGCGAAAGGGAAGAACACGGACGAAAGAAAGAAAGAGAGAAAGGGAGAAGGAAAGGTGTTAAGAGTCGGAGGGCATAAGAAGACGGACGCTCGCGCGATTTAATCGGCGCGAAGAAAGCGAACGAGTCCATCGGAGAGGACGGCGAAGGAGATTTCTTGTTCCTCTCTCTCTCTCTCTCTCTCGCGACGGTGGTGACGCTGGTCCGACAGGTAGTCCCGGTGGTCCATCGTGTCCTTCGGCACACTGGTGGCGCGACCCCGAGTGTATCGAATCGAGGATCTTCGCAGATTTTCGGAGAGCTTCGTTCGCCCACGGGCTCCCGCGGGTTCTCCCGGGCGCTCGGCACCACCGCTCAGTGTACTGCGTGGCAGCCTGGACCGCGGGTGGCCCCCCAGCCACCGACCGAGGAGCCGGGACGCGCGTCGACGCGGTGCCTTCGAGAACGCACACACGGAGCGAACACGCTCGCTCACAGCCCTTCTACGTGTTTCGGAACGCACAGCATCCGCTCTGCGTCAGAGCGGCACATGGTCCTACCGTGTCCCGAGCAGCGTCCGAGTTCGATCCTCCGCTCGAGATGGCCCGATCAGTAGCACGAGCGCGGCACGAGTGCGGCACGCAGCAGCGCGGTCTGGCTGCGGGGAAGGGGTTGTCGTGATCGGTCTCGGGGTCTGCGCGCATCACGTCATTAGCTGACTGTCGACCATCACCGAGACCTCGAACATGACGTACGGAAACGGCGGTGATACCAGGGAGGAATCGTCGCGACCGGCGCGCGCGACTTCCTCGGCCGAGTCGTAGCCGAGTGTGAGATTAATCGTACGCGCGCTGGCGCACCGATCGACGGAGATCGGCATCGATCGATCGAGCGAGCGGCCGTGACGAGGGAGCACCGAACGACGAGCGCGTGAAACTGCGCTTCCCAAAGTGGGTCGAACCCGCGGCTCGTTTACTCTCGCTGCTCGAAGAGCCGTACCATTTTCCCGTGGATGCGACCGCGGGAGATTCGCGGCGAGCCGTAGGTGCGCGCGCGCTCGCGTGCCTCGCACGCGTGCACTCACACACGCACGCAGCTACGACGATGACTGGCGCAAGCGACCACTGGTACGACGCGGTTCTTTGCTCCCGATAGCTAAAAGCAGGTAGTACACGGTGTTTGTGGCGAAAAGGGGACTTTGCGGAAAAGGGAGAGAGGCTGCCAGGAAGAAGGGGCTGAAGGCGACAGAACGAAGGAAAGGGAGAGAGAGAGAGAGGTTGGGAGAGAAATTGCTCGTAGCAGAAGTGGTAGGGAGAGCAAGAGAGAGAGGGAGAGAGAGGAGCTGGGGAGAGTAATGATCGTGACGACGGTCGTGCGGACAAATGAACACCTCGGCACAGCATTTGGGATATTCCAAGTAAGTAGCAGTGCGTAACGCCAAGTTGCATTGTGAACGGAAACGTTCGCCTTGATATATCCGCGTAACTTTAGCCTCAAGCGCGTTTATTTCGGAGATGGAATTAATTTCCTACGTGGGGAGGGAATGGAACGTTACGAGAGAATAAGGCCGCTCGAGGCGCCCGAAGATCCATAGCTCGACCTCGACGAGTCTTTTCAACCGAATCAAAAATAGAGAGATCGATACGTCTCGTCTATCCGACATGCCAAATACACTGAGAGAGAAGCTGGCAGGAAGGAACTTTCGAGGGGGAAAATTTGCGAAGGGATTTTCAACGAACTTTTTAATCGAAGCGGCCGCTTGACGTACGCTGTCCTCTTTTTTTTTTTTACGTTTTCTGTTTTACATCGCCGATTTACGTTCCAGGAATTTTATCGCTGGTCATTTTTCAAGCCTAGCTCGTCGATGGGGATCACACTGGCTGGTAATGGATGCATGCACGTTGCCTAAGCCAGCACATTTGGCGCGAAATCCAACACGCGGTTGGCATCGAAACGACCAATCGTGCGGCTCGGCGTACACAGTGGATCGTGCTTAACGATAGCTTTCACCCCCAAAACCCCCGGAAAAAATCCGCGTTCTCGTGATAAAAACAAGAGAGGAAGATCCGGTCGCGTTTGCTGCTCGAGGATATTAATCGTCCCTGAAATGAGTCCGTTTTAATTTATTCAATGAATTTGAACCAGGACGCATTTAATTGCTTGGCGCGCCAATTGTTCCGTTATAACTCGGCGGAAAGTTTTTCTATTTCACTTTCAAATTACGTTTGGAGCAGACGTCGGCGGTATGTTGTCGATACAGTTGAAGGGTATGACCTCGAGATTCGCCCGACCCATTTTTCACGATTTAGAAAAGCGACCGGCTTGTGTTGTGGAAAATCCGACGCATCCGCGGAACTTCGATCGCATTACGTACGTTTATCTATGTTTTCGAGAAATAATTCCGACACTGCATCCGACACATACACACACACACACATATATATATATCACCTTCCATTTTTCGTTTGTCTAAATTCCCCCTCGTTCCCCCGAGCTGCGGTCCCGTGTGATCGTATTCTTCAATTTTTCTCGTTAATTAAAGCCAGATGGGAACCGGAAGAGATCGGGCCGATCAATCTTCACAGATCATACCTTGTTCGCAATACCGCGAGATGGATTACATCCGACTCAAAATTTGTAGTACTTCTCCGAGGCGAGTCGTATACCGCGATGTATAACATTAGCATTTATATGGGCGCCGGCAAGATTCCGCGCGCGCGCGCGAGTAGTTCGGAAGCGAAATCCGAACGGAGCGAGATCCGACGGAAGAGAGGTGTCGTGAGCAGAAGCGAACGAGCAAAAAGAGACGGTGAAGGCGGCGAGGGCAAATTCCACATGGCCGCGATGCGAGTCAACATATTTTTCAGCGTCATCCCGGAATCAACGTTGTCGTCGTCGTCTTCGTTGAAGCGGCACGTATCGAGCGTAAGACGGGGGAGCGAAGCGACATTTTTCAAGGCATGTCGTCCGTCGTACGGGAAAGGTTGCATGAAAATTTGATTCTACCCGGTATCATCGACTTATCATCGAGAGTGAACAACAAATTCCCCGCACGCAAATTCACCGCGAACCATTTTCCGTATGAGGCTCTACGCGGCGGCGCCTGTAATTTTACCAAAGATACATCGTCCAGGGGCGATATACAGCATTTATATTAGCATTTATATAAGGGTAGAGTAACTACGCTTCTCCACGGGCCTGTACGTGCCCGGAGCGAAAAAGAACGAGGGCAAAATCCACGCCATAAGATAAAAGTGTTCCTCCTGCGGCCGGCCGGGGGGTCGTGGGATACGTCCCGTGGCCGTTTCGCAAGCACGGAAAATTAACAATTCAGAGTCGCCGTTACATATCCTTAACGTTCAGCCGGAGATGCATAAAGTTGGAAACATTTTGCATAAGACGCCCGGTTACAAATGTGAAATTAGGAATATTTATTCAAGCAACGGCGAAGCAATAACTCCGTGGATTCTACAGTCTCGCCGGGCGTGGAAACAAAGGTTAGAGACGTGAATGGCGGCTACGAGGAAGAGGGTGGCGGTGGTGCCGCTGCTGGTGGAGGTAGTAGGCAAGGAAGGGAAGAGAGAGAGAGAGAGCGGGCGAGTTGCAAAGATGCGAAGGGTCGGAAACGTGGGTTACAAATAGCAGAGCGCACAATTAAGCGGCCACCAGACCGTGGCGAAAGTTCTCTCGGAAAGAGATTATCGCCTAATTATCAGTTCGCAAAAGGTGTCCTAAAATTACAACCGCACTGGATTATCCCGGTAGTTATCCTCAGGGTGGACTAGCTCTTTCTTCTTTGTCTGCCGCCGGCTGGCGCACCGTGCATGGCAAACGAGCGAGCGAGCGAACGAGGATATAAGCGAGTGTGTACGCGCGTATGTTTTCGGCACGGTAAGGCGCGCGCCTTCGTACGGTGCATTATATTAACGTGTGCACAGACGCGGTTAGACCGTAGCTCTGTTTCCACCCTCGCGCAGAGAAGGAGGAGGTGGTGACGAGATCCAGACGCGCGAGTTGCAGAAAGGGGTTACCGCGCCGCGAGGCGTACAACGTTACTTTATTGCTCGCGTCAAAGGCAATCATGCCGCGCCTCCCCTCCGTCGCTCGCCCCGTCAACCCCGTTTTCCTAACGCGGTACTTTGACGGTCGCGTACACGTCACGGCCGTTTGTAGCGCGCACCCTGTGAATGCATTTTCGCGGTTCCGCATCCATGCTGAAATTGCCGACACGCCCGTAAAACGTGACTCCTGCCGCCTCCTTTCGCTCGCTCGCTCGCTTCTTCTCACTTTCCGCGTTCTTCTCCACGCGAACGGAGGAAGATCTGGCAGGACAACGTCGACGGTAGACAACGTCCGGCCAGGACCATAGCGCCCGTAACAAGCTCATAAGGAAATAAAAAAAGTTCCGGACGTTCTTCCGCCGATGGGCGAGTCGTGGGACTTCCACGCGCATATTTCATCTCCGGGAAGCATATTTTATCGGGGACGACCGTAAGTTATTCGAAAGTTCGGCCGGCAAGTTTTATCCTTCGAAAATAAATCGCAAAAGACAAATCCGCGCCTCCCCCCTCGCCATCCCTCCCCCCGCCAGCGTCCGGTCCACCCGAGGACTCCCGTAGAGTTTCGCGCGTGTAAACGAGATTCTCGATAATTATAAAAGTCACGAAGGAGAATGGAGTTTCGCGAGAAAACGAGGCGCGTGCGCGCGCTCGGGGAAAAATTACACGGGGGCAAGTTCGCACAGCGACGAAGTTCCGAAACCGAGGAAACAATCTGCACCTCGCTTCCTCGACTTCTACGTAAATACAGGAGCGGAGGGACGGCGGGAAAGGGCGGGACTCCATCTCCGCAATCAATTAAAAGCGCGGGTGAGCGCGATACCGCTCTCTCGAGATGATATCGGCGTCGCCTTCTCCTGCGGGTCCTCTTCTCCCTGGATCCACCGGTTCTCGGCCCTCCCCGAAGCCCACCTACTCCTGCGCTCGAATTATCGGCCCCGGGCTCGTCCTTTTTCTTTCCCATTTCCCCCGACAGGATTATCGGGAGGCGAGCGACAGAACGAGAAAGAAAGACAGAGGGAACTCCCCGAAACAACCGCGCTTAATGCTCAGCCCTCTTCTTGCCGCCCGCTTAATTTACTTCATCGACTTCCGGCCGGTGCGGCCGATCTCCCCGGTCGGCTATCAGTCCTCGAAATCAAATAACATAATTTCGCTAAGGCTACCACCGGCAAAAGGAGCCCGTTTCCCCGGGCCAGGCGAAATCCCGCGGGCGAATTTATGGGACTCCGTGGCCGCGACGTTCGGCTACCACACGTGTGTGCGGCAACGGGACCCACACACGTGGGCAGCAACGGCGGGTTGCGAGGGTGAAATAAAGTAACACTCCTGGCACTGGCGGGGATGGCCGTGCCGCGGCGACTTGTAGTCGCGATAAATTTCCCTCGGCTTTAGCGGCGCCGCCGCCGCGGCCGCGCGCGACCACGGAACGGTATTTTCAATCCTTTATAAGTAACAGAAAAGTGACAAAGGAAGAATAGCGATATTTCAAGACGACGGACGTGTACGCGAAGCAGACGACGAGCGATGAAAGATTTCGGCCGGCAACAATGCCCGCCGTGTCGCGTGCGGCGCAATAATACGAGAAACTTGGCTCATTTATTTATACCGGTTTCATCGCGTTACAAACAAAAGCCCTTTACAGCGAACCGGTAACTCGTAATTAAATTACATAATGGATCAATCCGTCTGTCCTGTTGAAGGATGATATTTAATCGTCTCTGTGGGCCGTGTAAATGTTAGAATTGCGAGCGAATTAAAAAATCCGTTGCTGCTTTGTCCGGCGGAATAGAATTTTTTATTCTGCGAGAAACGCGATATTGATATTAAAAGTCTCATCCAATTTTTTTTTCTTGTGTGAATATCGTTATTATCACCGTGTAACTCAATTGCCAACGAAAATGCGGGTCTTGCCTGAAAAAACAGATACAATGCGTCGCGCATTCGGGAAAGGCCCGTGAACGAGTAAAGTCGTAACAGGCTCGTAATTAAATTCCGAAATGGATTGCCACACGTCCCGCTGGAACAGAACATTTCCAATCTTTTATGAGCAGGAGACAATTGGAAATTCGCGAATGACAACGATTCAGTCTGTCTGTTCAACAAATGATTTTAACTCGACAGGACAACGGTGATATTGATATGGAAATAACGTCTCCTCGCGAGCACAGTAGTTGTCACTGCTGTACGAACCAGTTGGCTGGGAAAATGGACGTTTTGTCTATAAAAAAAAAAAAATAGTCTCTTCGCGCAATACATCGAGATTTCGAGAAAATTGGGTAAAAAAGGGAAGAGGAGGTAAAAGGGAGAGAGAGAGAGAGAGAGAAAAGTGTATAGCGGATATGAATACGAACTCGTC